GTTTAGTTACCAAATGCGACAGCACTGGTGACTGACACATCACACGGCGCGAACGATGTATCATGACAATAGAATGTGATGCGGCCATTATTGCCTGGCTAGGTATTGTGAATTATGTACGGTCTGTGCCTAGGTTTGGCCTTTAATGTTATGATTCTATAGGTACTGCGTTCATTTGCTGCTATTGTTACTTGAACAGTTATAAAAAAATACATCCTTTAGATTAAAGATTAAACTGCAGCAGAAAATAAATTTGAATAACTGCCTCAATTCAAGAGTTGTAAAACTAACAAAACAATTTAAGATTTTTGGAACAAGTTTTGCATTATTGCAAAAGGACCAGTATGTTATGTCGTGCTAATGGTACCCACAAGCGGCTCCTGTGCCATCATCAGCCGTTGAACCGGCCATCAGAAGTGCCCATCCGTGTTCGTTCAGTGGTTTGTTTACCGAAACAACAAAGTCTACTGGTACCTACGCGAGGGAATTTCGCGTGGGGCCTCTACTTGGCCTTAATTTTTTTCCAAACTACATATTGACATAAGGTCTTGAATAAACAGAGGCTTTTTGCGATCGAGGCCCGGTAGGGTTACTTACGCGTGTTGACAGTGCTAAATCAATCGATCCGGCGATGAGTTTCTTAAGAATCATGGTATCTGGAGTTCGTTTAATCTATTTCTGCCGTCTCTGCGATGTGTTGCAGACAGACCACTATATGTTTATTACCATCTGGAGATAACATCCTATCCGTGCATTAACCTGATTGGTTCCTTACTCATAATTTGTTACTAAAATAGAAACGTCTCTGGTCACGGTTAGAGTGTTGTGGGCTTCGAACTTTGGTTGCAACCGTGAAAATGGAAAAGAAATTCTAGTTGGCTGATGTCGTAACCGCACAGTAGCTTTGGCGGTTTTTTGTTAGCATTCCTGGTGCCCGGTGCACCTGATTACTTGCCTTGACATTGTGCAATATCTGACTATTTTTGTATGAAATTCCGATCGAAATGGAAAATAAAATGATGATTAATATTCTACCCAATGGGTTGGATAGGTATTTCCAACCTAGTTTTATGACAGTTTAGTACTGTTATAGTTGCGTGTCTGTTTATTAGTATTCACATAGTTTTTTTTGTTCGCTGAAAATCTGTACATTCGTCTGGCTCCTGTAGTAGTTCATTTTATTTTATTGCAATGCGTTCGACGTGACCCGCTTACGGAACTGCTACACAGGTCACAATTGTACTTCATTTATAGAACCAATCAATCTGCTATCTGCGATCTAGTCACTGCTGGATTTTTAGCTTTTTATGCGTCTGATGTCTGAGGTTAATAAACTTGCGTTTCTGATTGCTCATTCATCTTACATCATTGTGGTTTAGGATAGATTGAAATTTTTCATTTACCTGTATACTCGGCTCCTGTATCATTAGTATCTAATACAATTTAGTCTCGCTCGCCTAGATTAGTGTTCATATCGAGATTTTTTTCGGTCTGAGATTGGACGCTGCGCTTTTTGCATTTACAATTCGATGTGATCCATTGAAATGTCTTTTATGATCTTCAGCTAGACCAGACAGACGTTCATTGTGGACAATTGTACAATCCATTGTTATAGTGTTTTTATCTGTTTGCTTTGAATAAGCCAATTGTGGATGAAGGAAGTGAACCATTTGGGTTCACTTGTTGCTTACAACAGCGAATCAACTCACGCTACCTAAAATTTTCTCGCCGTTATAATTACTTAACGTTCCTTTAGTTACTGGCCGTTGGTGCGTGAAGGATGTTAAGTACACTTTAAATATTTTTTATATCACATTAAGTAGCCACTTGAGGTGTTGTTGACTTACAAAACATGTAGCTTAGGTACTTAAATAAACGTCTATTTATTACGGAATGACGTGACCACTGGTATTGCCGACAATTTGGTGGGTGATTGCGTAAAAAATATCAGTAATTCACGTAATCAAAACGGCATTAGCGAAGCCAAAGTGCTTAAAAAACGTTTGCTCTTTGTTGTAATAGTAGATATGTTTAATGTTTCGGTACTTAGTCACGCACTATTTAAGTCGTTGGTAATAATTGCCGTTACTCGAGCTCTTTATAAAGCTTCCATTAACTTTATCAAAACACAATTGATTCAAAGAGATTGATCTGTCTGTAAACTTCGATTTTCTCTGTGAGTAATGAAGACATTAATTAAATTTATTCATTTCAATAGGGCGTTGACTAACTTGAATCATCTGTATATGAGATTGATTCACAGTTCACTACATCTGGTAAATGCGTTAGGTAGCTGATGCGTCGGTAGCGAGGTCGTTGGTACACGATTCCTATCTAACATGCAGTCTAGTCTAGACCTAACGTGATGTCAACGCTACTAGTCTAAAAATATTTCAATCTTTCCCATGAGAGTCGCATCGTGTATTTCAACTAGCATCCTTAGAATATCACTAAAATCAAAATACAAGTACCTGTATTTTAATTTTTTAGTCAATTAAACCTGTTGCAACTTGTTGCAAAAGATTTACACCTTACATAATAATATATTATGCATCTAATTTGGAACACCAAGGTCATTATGTCAATGACCATTTCGGGGCGGGGCATCGACTAAGTCAATATCTCCTTAAGTGGCACTTGCGAATTAATCATCGTGCATGTCTCGATGCACTTTCCATCTTACTACAACTGTTCCGTTAGTATTTTTGATTCATTCATGATTCTGATCCACTGGAAAGATATGTATGTTGTTTTAGCGCTGCTGCTATTCTTGTTCGTGTTGTATATCATTGATTGAAAACCAAATTCGGGACGACACGATGCAACGGTGTCGTATGCGTTATCTCGTAGTATTACATGTAAATCTTCCCTTTATCAGCGATTTATTGGGTGCGCTTGACTTTAAACATTCATGTTTATTATCCCTGGGCGTTTGTACCACCTTATGTTTGTACCACGTTGACGTAGGCGTCACAGTCCAGTTGTGTTTCCATCTGAATTACATTACAGTAAAATGTCCGAAATGGACGCGACATATCCTTTTGTTGTTGTTTCCTTTAACTTAAATATGGCTCCGTTTGCGCCCGAGAAACTACCAATATCATCCACCTACGCACGGTCAAATTCTATGCTGCATAAAAGGATTATTATCAGCCCCAAAAATACACATATGGTAATGGCGACCCACGTTATGTCTCAGGAAATTTGAGTCTCTTTATAAAGGTGTTATTCATCTAGATTACTTAGGAGTCCGTAATAAAAGCGGGTTCACGGACGCTGAACTACCGCGAGTTTAACGAAATTCTGCACTTTTTGCAGTAATACTTAGAATTTTGCGCTACGTTTGTCGGTGCGAAAATTCACATTAAAAATGTCAACATACTTGTAATTTCGGACGGCAATAAACAAAATAAATGCAAGTTTTATATCTCTGTAAATAATTGTTCCTCTCAAACAGACGCTCTTGACGAATTACTGTGTTTGCTATAAATGTAAGCGTAGACGTGTAGCGATATTAATCTTGTATCGCGTAGACTTCACTAGACGAATGGAAGCAGTGGCGAATATATCATCAGGTGGTTTTAATTCCGGTCATCAATAAGTTTAATCAAAATGCGCTGTATACGAATTATTCTAATGATTAATTGAAAGCGTGCCGAAAAAAAATCGCTGACAAATCGAGACGCTATCAGACAGATACACGTTAAGTTTATTGCGTTTTTTCAGTGTCTTTTTATTCGCTTGTTTCTGACAAAAGGCTTTGGGTGGCCGAACTTTTCAAGGCCTGTTTATGCTTCAGGAGGTCTCAATTTGTTTCCTCGTGAGAGTAGAACATTTTCTTAAACTCTAATTCTAATCGGCTCGTTTATCTCAATTTCCAGACGGTCTAAAAGCAGTTTTGCGAAAACCAATTTGAATATTTTTGCATTCGCATCTAAATTTACAGAGCCTTTAAAAAAGTCGTAATAAAGTCTAGGTAGGTTTTTTATTGTTAGGTCATAAGCTTTTTTTGCTAGTTTCGTCATGCTTAATTTACAGATCTTTTACCTCTTGTGGCGATTGTTTCGTGTGCATGCGTCTTGTATTTTTATTATTATTTTATGTATGTGTAGATTAGGATACATCAAAATATATTGTTTTGCCACTAGAATGTAGTGTTGAAATTAGCAAATTCAATTTGTCAATAGTTTTTGTCTATATCTTCATCGTGTTTAGTATTCGCATGTTTCTGTTTTATGGCTGTGTGGCTAATGACTCCTGCAACATTTATAACTTTAGCACCGTCTAATGTTTTTGTTCATTTGACAAATATGTTCTTAGTTGTACAACTACGTTCCATTGCCACTTAAAATTATTATTTAACTTGAAATGAGTCGTAATTTTTTTGAGGGTTTGTACAGAAATCTTTATCTATTGTTGCTTAGTAAGATCTGTAATGAGTTTTTTTGTTACTCTTGTAATGAGATTGTCAAGATAGACAGCTTTTCGTAATAGCTGTTTATTGACTACCGTTCATTGTATTAGTGATACTGTCCCAAAAAAACTTTATCTATATTTAGATTAGATATTTACGTCCATAATAAAACTTGTTATTAGAAAACGATTATTATAATTATTACTACTTTGGATGTTGCACCTTTTTTTGTAAAATTTCCTTAGTTTTTGCTGGTTTTTATATCTCTGCGCTTTATTTTTTTAGCTTTTGGTAACATCATTCTACATGGTTATGATGGACAGGTTTTGCCACATTGCTCATTTGTCCGCACATTTTAATGTTGCAATTACATGTACCTAAATGTATTTTATTGTTGGTCATTCCCAGAAATGTTCTGTATTGAGTTTTTACGTGTCTCTTATTTAAACTTATTGCTATGAGCTTTAGAAACCTGTAGACGATGTTTATTTCTAAGATCAAATGCAATTATAATTTGTATTATTTGTCTGTTGCCAGTATTTAGAGTTACGTAATTAGCGTTATTAAAACTTTTTACGTTTCGCAGGAAAACATCGATCCATCACCGTACAGTCTATCCCCAATATCGGCGAAGTCGGAGAAACTACTCCGGTCTCCGAGGAAAGCAACGAGGAAGATATCGAGGATTCCGTTCAAGGTGCTGGATGCTCCCGAGTTGCAGGACGACTTCTACCTGAACCTGGTGGACTGGTCTGCGCAGAATGTGCTCAGTGTGGGTCTCGGAAGCTGTGTTTATTTATGGAGCGCTTGTACTAGTCAGGTGAGGAAATAATTATGCCTAAGGTAGACATTTCTTTTGGTTCTTAGAGGCTGTTCTACACCACACCGCATCGATAAAAAACTAGGACATGTTTTATACAAATCACGTTCTATATTCAAATTTGAAGATAAATTTAAACCTAGTAGGTATCCAAACAGTGAAATAGGCCCGATTTAGGCCTCGACCCAATTAACGTATCCAAGTGGCCTAATTTTGTCCTTTATGTATGTGTATAGTATTTTACATGAGATACGGATGCCTGAAATGAAGAGAGTAATAAAAAAATCCTTATACAAATATCACGGTTTGTTTTCAGTTAATTAAATATTTCCATATATTTATATACTTTATTATTTCATAGGTGACGCGGCTCTGTGATCTCTCGTCTGAGGGTAACGCTGTGACGTCAGTCGCGTGGAGTGAGAGAGGACATTTGGTTGCAGTTGGGACACAGAAGGGACACATCAGCGTTTGGGACGTTGCTGTTAATAAAGAGGTAAGGATTGAAACATAAATAGTGCACGAGGTAAAGAGTTCTGTTGCAATTCTTCTAAGTAGTGTATTGGTAGACTTAGGAGGTTTCCTGTGTCGCCTACATAAGTGCGCATAGAAGATTGGACGGTAATATTATTCCATAAAAATCAACCAATGATGTCACTAATTCTATATCGAGTAAAGAAACTTTTCGCGCAGATTAACATGCATTGAAATCCCTACCTACAAGTGTGTTGCCAGGAGCCCGCTTGGCAGTATCACCAAGCATGACTGGAGGATTCTCCTTTTCTGAAATTAGGAAACTTACTCTGTTCCGTAAATTTAAAATAACGTGTATACTTGATCATTGTACGAATAAATGATAAAGCAGGTCTAGTCTTATAGTTAAAATATATGGAAGTTGAAGTCCAGTGTAAGAACCTATCGATACCGCCTTAGACCCTTCAACAAGCCCCGTGATAGTAAAACTAAGTCAAGTGGATGATATTCTAGTCTTTGATAAGCTTCTAGGTATAGTAAACGTTATGTTAGGCTTAAATTATTATCGACCCAAGTTGTGAGTAATACTAAAATTGCAATACACTATGTACACGGATCACATGAAATATCGTCACAAATTATCACTAAATCAATATTATTTCTCACTTGACTTTTCTTACGACATTGTGATATAGGTATGCCGATGAAAGCTTACTGTATAATTTAAATATATCAGGTAGCTATACAATAAATCCTGTATCATTGAGCTGTTATTATATTTAATTAATAAAATTATGGTCTCCCCAACTCTATAACTAATCAGGAATCAGTAGCCGACCAGTTAAAACTAGTCTGATAAATTATGCATCCGCAATGTCTAGATGTTAGATACCTAAGAATAGTGATGGACTGATCGAATACTTGTTTACTCGATGCAAATATACTTAATATTTTTTTGAATCGTCAGCCGATCACACTCTCTGTAGAAACTATTGGTGACAAGATCAATTTGTTTTTATAACAGCTTTCGAATTTGTTGGAAATTTTCAATGTCACGGTGTAAGTTATTTATTTTTAGAACCGAACGAAAAGTTAATAAAACAAAATGTATCGACTAACACCATCGTTATCGGGACAGCACTAGTCGAGTTGCGGATGCATAAGTTTTATTAGAATATTGCCTACGCTTCAGGCGTAATTTAATATCTAGATTTATTTCTTGTTATCCTGCAATTTTCTACCTAGACTCGTTTCTGACTTAAATTAAACTCTGTATAAGTTCTGTATGACGTCTAACCTAGACTATGTCTGTTCATCTGTCAATGTCGTTACTGTCATAGATTTATTAGACTTTGTTCTTTAGGAGTAATGTCATTTGTAGAATTTTGTAATGAGATATTCTTTCGGTCGGTGACTTTACTTGAATGAGATGAGGATACATACATTGTTAGTGGAAACATCTTTTTATAGTCATTTTCTATGCCTAGTTGTATAGGCATTGTGAACCTTAGGTATTTATTAACAAAAGTTTGTAAGTATGGACAGTCATTAATATGTGTTAGTTTATTTTTGAGACATATAAATCTGCTGTTAATGATAGACCGAAAACATGGTTGGTGATCCGTCCAATGTATGTATAGTTTGTCTAGTATTAAGGTACGCAGGAGTTCTGCTTAGCTTGGATCAAAGATCACCAAAAGGATAGGGCCAACGATCGAACTAAGTTAGTTTGTCAAAATTGTCCTACTAAGTACAAGATATAATTTTGTGGTATACTTTTCTTCCTTCAGGTGACAAAACTTCAAGGGCACATTGCTCGAGTGGGCGCTCTGGCGTGGAACGGAGACATCCTCAGTTCCGGGTCCAGGGACAGGCACATACGACAGAGAGATACGAGGACACCACGTGAGTACTTAATTCATAATACACACCAGTGTTACCATTATTCTAGACTGGACATATTGCTATGAATTTTAAAAAGATTTTTTTCAAGATTAATGAAAACCGATTCTTGTTGTTGCGGGCATTTGATCGCACTAAAAACTACTCACAGTACCTACAGTGCAAAATGTTCGCGTTAGGTAAATAATTATAAAAATAATGATTTACTTTATTATTATACTTAATAGGCTAAATCTGAACATGCAATTGAAGATAATCAGCTCCTAGATCTATACTAATATTATAAAGAGGTAAAATTTGTAAGTTTGCAAGTTTGTATGTAGGGGGTAATTTTTGGAACCGGTGGTCGGATTGCCAAAATTCTTTCACTGAAAGATAGCTACAATGTTCCTGAGTGCTATAGGCTATAAAACATCACGCTAGGATTAGATGGAGCCATGCAGTGAGTGAAACCGCGCGAGACAAGCTAGTATAATATAAACCAAACTTGTTACTTGCGAAGGTTCAAAGACGGACAGTTCAGACAAAGGCTTAGTTCACTCTTAAGTAGACACTCGCTCGGTTACTTGCCCGCGATTAGAACAGCGGATCTCAAAGTTTTTGCAAATTATTCCACGATTTCCATAATACACATAATGTATAAGTTATTGAGCGTTTTTTGATACGGGGCTTTCCATCAAATTACATACATCTTTCTTCTATAATGGGTTTGTAAAAAATATGTACCGATTCAAAAAACAAGTAGGTACATATTTGTTTTTTCGAGAATCTCAATTCTCGACACGTAATACAGTAGCCGGACCTCTGAATTATGGTGCGAAAAACACGTTGTTATATTAAATACATTGTCCAGAAAACTAGTTTATATACAATTTATTGCGAGCCATATCAGATATTTCGAGCTCGAACTAATGTAAAATTAGTTTATAAAATTTAGATTTACATTATATTCAATGATAAATGATTTTTATTTAGATAAAATAGGTACGGTAAAAACTAGTCAAATTCAATGCTTTTATCCAAAAGTCAAAAACGATACTTTTCTATGAAATACTGAGTTTTGACGTCATAGTATTTTTGCGTCAAATAGTTTACTTATTTCTTAAAAATTAGCTAAAAATATCTAAAATTTTGTGTATCGATCGATTGCGTCGAATTATTTTATTTTTGACATAGGTAACTACCCGATTGAACGTTTACATGGCAATATTTAAATAATAATAATAAAAAAATAGTATATGTAGTCGGAATAATAACTAATTACAATACAAGTTACTTAAATATTTTTTAATGCCCGCATTTTCTCAGTAATTATGAATTTACTCGACTGTAAAAGGATCCTGTTTATTCACAATTAGCTACAAGTTTGAGTATCATTTACTGAAGCACCGTTGCACCTCAAAGGTAAGCGCACGACTTTGCAAGTTCAACGACAATGCAATTATGCCAGTGTTATACTTTGTTCTTTGGTAGTGTGCTGCATCTACCGCAGTACTGATGCATTCTGATAGGGATGTTTACTCTGTAATATTATATTGTTTACTATATTTAATCCAATTAAGATGAAAGCTTTGATAGTTTCTTTGTTTCCTTTTATTAATTTTAAAATACGGGACTAAAAAAATATAAAATAATAACAAAAGATTGGCTTTAGTTCCACGGAGGCTTTTGAAACCGATATTATTGCTAGATGAGGAAAATAACTTTTTTCTCTTTAAGTTTTCGTAAGTGACAAAAAAAAAAAAACGTAAATGCTGGTCTTAATAAAAATTGAATTAAGTTTATATTCGAAAACAGAGTTTACAAAGACAGACGGGCCGTTTTAAGTGGGCATAATATATATCACTCAAATTTAGTACTTTTTACCATGGTTTTGGCTTTGAAAAAATGTATGGAAACCCTTGCCGCGAAAACTACTTGTTACCGCATTTTCACGGAAAATAATGATAAAAAAACCTAGTTGTAAAAATATGTTCCAGTATTACCTAATGTACTTTTATACTTGTATACTTTTACTCTATAGTATATTTGTGTTGGTACTTGGGTAATGTAACTATAACATGCAACAAAGCACTGCTTGCTGCATTCAGATAACTCCTAACGATATTGTTGGTAAACGTGCACTTAGCTGTAATGGACGGTTTTATTACCTACGTCTGTCATTCAAGTTATGTTATGTGTTATGCACTTTTATCGTCAACGTGTTTTTTTATTTTTTCCCTTTGGCCAACTCTGTAGTGTGTTATCATTGTGTGATTGTCCTTTTTCCAGTTTGTGATTAGAGAAATTCTTAGCGTAGCGTTTCGTTGGCTCATTAAACGTTATTTCTGTTTTTAATCGCCCTAAACTATGAGATTTTTGAACAATTCTTTTTGTGTTAGGTAATCAATTTATTTTGGGTTGGCTATAAACCGTCACGCTACGACGAAAAGGAGCTGAGGAGCGAGTGAAACGGCTTGTTCTAACTATCTATTACATAATATTTTTTTAATAAACGTTGTGCCACACTTGAATTTTAAAACTTACAATTTCACATACACATCACACCCGGAACAATAATTTGTTGATCACACAAAGAGTTGTTCCGTGCGGGAATCGAACCCGCGACACGTTGCGTGGCAGCCAGTTGCCCAGCCACCGCGCCAACCGTGCAGTCATAATTAACGTAACTGAATGAGTACTAAATAATTTAAAAATATCTCTAATAAGCCATAGTCTTACACGATCTCAGTCTAACTACAAAACGATACCTACAGTTAACTGCACAGTTACGATGCACTGACACAACTGTTCTCTACCGTGTAGCTTCATCAAACTAAAACATTTCTAACCTTATTTTGCAAATAGTAAGGTTGAAAATCAATTGAAAATAATTGATAAGACAGGGTAGTTTCACGTGCTAATGTTCTTGTTAGTAACATGCGCCGAGCTACGTTTAAGAGGATCCATTACCTAGTATCTGTGGCACAGACTCGTTATACTAACAGGATTTTATTAGAAGCTTTAAATAATATTTTATGATAGGGTAATCGTCGTGTAGATTTTCTTCCGTAGTTGTCTTGCTTTAGGAAATTTTAATCGGTGTTAAGTAAGTTTTTAATAGGTGATTTGTTTTCTTTTCGAAACATATTTTCAGATTGTTTGTGTTGTTCTGGGTCTGAGTGTGATGTGTATGTGACATTGTATATTCGTAAACCCAACCAAGAGACAACAAGAGAAAATCCTAGTAGGCTACGTTTTTTTTTAATGTTTGGGAGCTATTGAGATTATTTTAACGATGAATAGTTTAAATGAAATGCTGAATTTAGAAGTCACTTGAGTGTTTTTGTTTCCACTACTTTTTAACATTACAAATAAATCAATATTCAGTACACATAATGTGGTTTAACACTCACAACTCAGCGTCCGTTTTTCCGATTTATTGCTTTGACATCCACATGACGTCATACACCAAGTTTATTACCCAAAATGACTCATAATTAATAAAACTTTATTCTTTTTTTTTACAGCGGTGCAATCATCCCGTATCCTGCAAGGACATAGACAGGAGGTTTGTGGTCTGAAATGGTCGCCAGACGGCCAATCACTTGCTTCCGGGGGCAACGACAACAAACTTTTCGTCTGGTCTATGGTGAGTATAGTAAAAACTATTTTAATAAGTACGGAAATTGTACATTATGTTTCCTTTAACTAAAGGATGTGTGCAAAAAACTGGCTTATTTAGGTAGGTTACCTATTTTTTTATTAGATGCATTTTAAATCTTAATTTGCATATTAAATTGGCTCTTTATCAATTTGTAACATTTTATTGTTATAAATGTCACCAATTTTATAGCTATTAATTTTAAATGGCTTGTTATTAGTTTTATAAAATTAAAATGTTAATTAAGAAAACTACTAATTGTAATTCTTGGCTTAATGCCTGACGCGCTGTAGGTATATCGGCGCGCGTTCCCATTATTATCACGACGGAAATAATTAATATTATTCGTTATTATATTGTAGTGCGTTAAATTTTGCGTGTTACCGCAACTCTTATCAGAATTCATCATTCCCACGGGTACATACATAAATAGTTTAATAGCAAGTTGTTAGTAAAGACTAGGTACTTACGTGTGTAAGCGCAATAATGAATCGTGATCCCGGCTCCGAATAGAGGGAAGGCACGGGGTGATAGTCAGTAAGAGTCTGAGCCGTATACCTAAAGACACAAAGACGACAATCCCACTTCGAAAAAAAAAAGTATTGTCGACCTGTTTCATTATATTTAGTACAAACTAAGCTATCCTTACAGTTACCCAATATAGCTAAGTGACACACAACGTGACAACATGTCTGGTTAGCTACTATGTCCCTACCAGATAAATTTGAATATGAAAAATAACTTTGTATAAACTATGTGTAAACGTAAGTTTAACAGGTAAACATATATTATGTAGTAACACAAATTATCTCAATACAAAACTATTCAATTTATTGCGTACCTAATTAAGAGATTATAATTACTATTTGTTTCTTAAATAAGGTCACCTTAAGTATTGTATTGTAATTGATATTACTCAACAATAAAAACTTTTTTAATCATTTCCGAGATTGTAACTATTTGATCGTTTCCCGTCTCGGTAACCGAAATCGGATCTTCACGTTTGTGGCTATTATTATCATGTGCATCAAAATCATATTAGCCAAGTTTGCTAGGCAACTACCTAGTGCTAATTCTTATAATTAAAGGTACTCCCAAAGTTTTAACGATTGTAAACCCTATTGCACAAGACTTAAAGTTGTTAATGTCTTGTTAAACGCTACGTTTATTTCAATTACATCCAATGGTAGTTTGACCTACATTTGATGTTATTTGTGAATTTTGTTGTATTTCAGTTATAAATGTTAGTTGAAAATGCCATTTCTGACATCAGACTTTTTTTCAAGTGTTTCCTTCAATTGTGCAATCCTTAACCTCTCGTTTGTTGGTATATGAGACATTTTAGACGTAGACCTGCGTTCCATATCATGCATATCACGGGTTCAACGGTATTAATGTGAAATACTTTTTTAATAAAAAATCATTTTCACTCACTTTTTTTGTTGTTTCATGCATAAAAGAAATAACTATTCCAAGTTCTTTTATCTTACATGAGATATTCACCTAATAATAAGATATTATTAAGATGTGTATATTACTATCCTAAAGAAATCCAAAATTTACGTGAGGAGGCTTGAGTGATTTTTTTTAATATGAACACACAACTAAAAAAAGATTTTACCTGAGAATTTTTTTCTATTCAAGTACTACTTCTACTTGTGTAACCTTTAAAATGGCCTTCAAGTGTCATATTATTTCTTCTTACTGTAAGTTTTTCGAAAATATTATAATAAAGAAATACTATCCATTACTAAAGTATATTAAAAGTCACTGTGTCTTTGTTCCAGCACTCCACATCCCCGGTACAAACATACTCGGCCCACGTAGCGGCGGTGAAGGCGATTGCCTGGTCGCCTCACCAACACGGCCTGCTAGCGTCCGGCGGCGGTACCGCCGACCGCTGCATACGATTCTGGAACACCCTCACCTCACAGCCCATGCAGTGTGTCGACACAGGTATGTAAATTGCCTAATACATCAAAAATAACTTAATATTTCCTGTATTAGTGTAAGCTTTTGTGTTGAGTACACGGTCCACCTAGTTTTGCACTCATTTGGAGCCCGGTTTCCACTGCGAAAGGGTAATGTGCGGAAAATGGTTAGGCGGAACGGACTCCTTTTTAATGAAAGAGGTTTGCGTTTCCACCAACGAAGAGATGGTCATTTGATTTCCACTGCAAAATGAAACTGGGATAGAGAAATCATTTCTACTCTTTCTACACGCTCGTCTCTTTCCGTCCGACTATTTGTTGGTGGAAATACAAGTATGCAGTTTGCGTTTGCGAGTTTAACGAAGTCATTAATGGGTCCGGGCTTTAGTTCTTAGCTGTGTATCTATAGTCTACTTATACTATTACATTATAAAGATGAAATATTTGTATGTTTTGAATTTAAAAAATCTGTTCTGTTTAGAGAAGAGTTTTCTAAAAATTATCCTCATAATAGTGTGGGCCGCGGTTAGTGTGTAACATATTAATTAATTAGTGAATTATCCCGATGAATTATAGAAATCAATTAGTGTTGGTCCCTAAGTGACCAATAATACCAGGTAATTCTACTTAGCTATTCAATGTACATTTATTTAACAAACGCACATTATTCCAGGATCTCAAGTATGCAACCTGGCGTGGTCGAAGCACTCCAGCGAACTGGTGTCCACGCACGGCTACTCTCAGAACCAGATATTAGTTTGGAAATATCCGTCCTTGACGCAGGTAAGTCATGACCTTATACTCAAAAACTTTTATGTCTTCTAACCCCTTCCAAAGTCTAAGTCAAAATCAAAATCATTATCAGCCTGTAACTGCCCACTGCTGAGCAAAGGCCTCTGCTGAGAAACTGCTGAGAAAGTTTAAGCATTAATCACCTCGCTTGAAAGGCGCATTGGTGATTTCAAACTTATAATTAGAACGTATAAATTTAAGGTTTCTTCACGATGTTTTCCTTCACCGATGTTTAAATATCCATATCTAAAAAGACATACACATGCAAGCACCCACATCCTCATCCGCATGAGAAGTGGGCGCCTTAACCTGAAAGTCAAAATGACACTTTTGGACATCATATCACTCTCAAATCTATTCTCAATTTGTATGTTTTATCTAAAGTCGATTTATTTACCGTCTGTTTATTAACTTAAATGTTTCTATATCCCCAGGTGGCGAAACTAACAGGTCACTCATACCGCGTCCTGTACCTAGCATTATCCCCCGACGGCGAGGCGATAGTGACCGGCGCCGGCGACGAGACGCTCCGGTTTTGGAACGTTTTCTCCAAAACCCCATCACACAAAGAGAACAAGAGCGTTCTCAACCTATACACAGCACTTAGATAAACTTATATCCTAGATATATAGACCTTTTGTATATACTAGATTTATTTATTTTTAGCTATTTAACAATTACGTTTCGAAGGATTTTTTCGGTGTTTAAAAAGCTGGACTGTTCAACAGTTTGTAATCCGTGTTTGGTTTTGGTGGTTTGTTTGTGTTTATATTGAAAATATATTTTTGTTTTATAGCAACACTGGGACAGGGGTGGCTGTATAAACGGTATTGCCATCTCTCTCCCAGAAATTTGGTAACTAGCTTCGAATTGACCACCACGCCGTACCAAATCGTTATTTTATACATAATGTACACTAGTTTGTGTATAAATTATTATATACATATGATGTAAGTATGTATATTCGTTTAGATTGAGTTGTACATAGATATCTGTACAGTTACTGCGGTGACTATTTACAGTTCTTTGATAGAATTGTCTTGTTGCTTATGTTATTATGTTTCTATGTATTTACTTAGATAGACGCGCAGGCTAAAGATTAAATCAACGACGAAAATGTAATATTTGATAGATACATATTTAATAATCGCATAAGTAATACTAAAATATTTCTTTTGTATTACAAATTAATCAAGTTATTTCAGTAATAAAATTAAAATATTGCACTTAAAATAAAATTTAAGTATACACTCGCTTCATTTCGCATTTATTTCTATTTAGTATCCAATGGTTATACGAATAAAGCATATTTCCGATTGTCCTGTAAAGGTGATAAAACCGTACTGCTGGACAGGTCGATTTCGTCTTTAGTCTGCCCTTGTATTATAAAACTAGACGATAGAGGGATTGAACTTTAAAAAAACCTAAGTATTTAGATAACACTGGGAGCGTATCGTAAAGTTACGATATTTTATCTCAGAACAACTCCCCACAGAAATGTTTGAAGTTGTTACTGAACTATGGAGTTTCATTTTTAGCTAACGTCAGTCAATATTTTCCATATTAGCATTTACCGACAAGTTTTTTTTGTTGGTCCTTGCTTACTGGAGTTATCCTGGTTTGGCACAGGACAAACCAATTTCCATTTCTCTATGAACTTTATTTGTTATGAAATCATGAGTGTATCGAAGCGATTATGAATAACCTTACTCTCTGGATTTTAGGCTAAAATAGTTACATAGTTCCTTCCCTCTATCGCCTGAGTAAATTTTGACATAACCCGTTTACAGATATGAAATGAAACAATATATTATTTTTTTGTACTTTGTATAAATTTTCGAATAATTTCTTATGAAAATTCTGTTTCGACAGTCGATTTGGTATTGCATTTCGTGTTACTAATCAAGAATATTTTTTTCTGTTCCAGCTTTATTTTTGTTTTTTCGATTTTTACCAATTGAGAGTAGGATATTAAATTCGAAAATTGTAATTATTATCATTCTCTCAAATGCTTTATAGTCGAAATTTGTTCCAGTCCAGATCGGGGAGGTCTTTAGAACGAGATTATGAACGATAGTACGGTCTCTAATACATCAGGCACGTCCAAAAACTACTTTATTTCACAGAAATAAGGTTGTTAGTCGATAATTAACAAAAAATGTCGTAGCTTGATGTAGTAGCATCTGTCTAACATTTTAATTACAGCTAAATTTCTATTATTACCGTAGTGTTTAATGTATATTATGGATTCGCATTTATTAAATGTAAATCGTAAGTTTATAAAGAACCGATTAGAGGTGCCTCTGTAATGATCTCATTAACAACCCTACGATCTTAATATATGGCAACACTTTTATATAAACTTTTTCTTCTTTATTTTATTTATTGTTTTCGTCTTCTGAATAGTTTATTTTTTATTTTATTGTTATTTGTTGTGTTGCGAGGTGCCAGTTTTTATTTTTATTAACGCTGGCAATACATTTGCTTTAAAAGGTAATGTTGTATGTTTTTTTAAAAATCGTACCATTAGTTCTTTTAGTGAAACGGTAGCAAGGCGAAGTAAATTTGTTTTAGTACTTCCCACGATATAGTGTATAATTTGAAGCGTCTATTATACATCTTATTGTGAAGGTAATAGTAAAGAATTTACTTTGACACGACAGGTAACAATATGTCTCCGAGGCGCCTCTAGTTATTACGTATATTCTTTGCAATGTCCTACTAGATATTATTTTGTAAGTTAGAATTTGACGCGTGCAATGTAGTTTATAATAAATTTGTATTGTGTATATATTTGTCGACTTAGATAATTGTATGAACTGTAGTGTTCTTGGAAGGCGATTCTAAAATGATGTAATTTTAAAGAATCTTCAGTTACTTGTCGGACTAGGGATTGAGTTATCGGATTGCCTGAAATGCTTGGTTTCTGGAATTGTAACTGCTATATGGCGTAGCTCATTTGAATTTGTCTGTATCAATATATTTAGTAGGTGGTTTTATTTAGATGTCCCGATCATGCTCAATGCAAAACTTAGTATTTTTTTGTTGTTTTTTATTTGTTATTAGATTTGTCTATTTGTAAATTAGACCCATCATTTCGTCTTGCCTTCACAGAACACTCCTATAAATGAATTTTGTTCCAAAAAAGGATTCGGAACCAAAAATTGTATTTCTTTTTGTTCTAACAATTAAAGCTGATTTCTCGGTGTGTTATTAAAATCAAAATGTGATTGTGTGAATCAATGTATAATCAATCTGCGAGATGCCTTTCTGTTCAATTTTGTCGAATTTGATAGTATCTGACGTCATATTTTACGATTGAAGGTTGTAGTACCGTTTTGTACAAACTAGATGGCGTTGGTGTAGCTTTAAGTCCTGTTGGTCCAAACACTAATACAAAAGTGAAAGGATCAATGGTTTTGACACAAGCAAATAGCATTTTAGTCAAAAGGATCCATAGTAAACATTTTGGTGGATAATTAATTCCCTCTACCATCTAGAATTGCTACAAAATGGCGGCTTCTCGTTTAATATTATGATGTTAAACTAACGAATTCATTAATGTAATAGTTTAAGAGACAACAACGTTAGGACATATCAAGTTAAATAGTTAACAGGACATTCCTTATAACACAGCTTTTCAATAATAATAATAATAACCGTTAAAGTTAATTTATTTCTTATTAAGTACTAAATGTACAATAATTATCACTTAAACGTTCTTATCTCTCGAACTAATAAAAAATACATATTATTAATTAATCTCAAAAATACACATTGTAAGACATGTATAGTATCTTCATAAAGAAAGAATCTAATTCCAGTACATGATACGTAAAATTGTTAGTATAAATATTATATTATATAATAAAGAGTAGTTTCGTAAGGGTTTAGCCGACTACTATTTATAGAGAAGAGAATTATTTATATGAAATAGAGTGAAATAATATATTAAACTTGTATAGACTGAAAACATTTTTAATATGTATTTTAGAATTAAATGTTTGATTGTGTGCTCTATTTTTGTGGTTTTATTTCGTTTCTTTGTTATACAGCGTGTGTTTTTATGACATATATTTGTGTTTATATTTTTTTTTGTCCCCAATAAACTATGGAGGAAGTTTAATCGGTAAATATGTACCACTGCGATGTATATTTTAACTGTTCATAAGGGATAACATAATCCTCAGCCAGGGTTTCCGGCCTCGGTCTGGAACAGGATAAGGAGTAGGATCAGGGTGGGTTTGAGTCAGTAGGAAGGAGTTTGGACTTTCCCTCTTGTCTCACACATGGGCGGGGAAGATATTTGTTGGTTTCCCCCCTCAAGAAAAAGAGTATGAGCGCTTAGTGTCGGTGCGGCACGAAATAGCAAAGAATTTTAATACTAGTCCAGCTATTTTGAGCATTATTTCCTTTAGTTTTAAAGTTCATACTACTTTATTTAGACACCTAATACGTTAACATCGACCAGACGAGGTACCTTGTGTCGAGGCATTAAAGTTTTTAAGTCAGTTGAAATAACGTTGCAACTTGCGCAGCGGTTATTTCGGTGATTGGGACGCAGTCAAAAGGTCTTGGTGGCCCGGAGGTTAATGACTGTTTTCCAAGTTATATATGTATATGTAACTAGCTTTTGGTCCTCGACATTGTTCGCGTGGAATAGTGACTACCAGCGGATTTTGGTCCTACGTCCTTTCTCGAGTTCCAAACTATGTATGTCTGTACCTTTCACACAAATAGGTTCAGTAGTTTAGGCGTGAAGAAAAGACAGACAGACAGAGTTACTTTCGCATTTACAATATTAGTTTGGATTTCTAAGATTATTAAGACGCCATTGACATACGATAAAAGGAAAATATTGTGAAGAAACATGGACTTATAATTTCTAATTATAATTTGCAATCGCCAATCGGTCTTGAGCAAGCGTGGTGATTAATGCTGAAACCTTCTCCGTGTTAGAACAGGCCTTTTGCTCAGAAGTTTGATGATGTTGATGATGATGGAAGCAGTCTAGTCTGTGGTCGGTGCAAATGTATAGGTACCGATGCCAATGTATGCTACGAAACGTTGCGGGATGCTGCAGAACTGTCTCCGGTAACGACCCTTACTTAACCAGTTGTCTGCCGGTATATAATAGAAAACACATTGTGTCTCGCGTAGATCTGAGTTCCGACATAGCACGGGTTAAGCGTTTATTGGAGACCCTTTGTTAGTTTTCGGGTCTATCTACCCTTAATCCAAAAGCACCTTCAAAATAAAACAACAATTTTTTCGTCAATCCAATAATGAGTTTTTATTGAAATACTTATAATCTTTGATCAACTGCATCCCAGATAATTTTCGTCGATATGGTCAACGTAATTAACATTGTCCAAGATGAATTCCTTGATCTTATCTTTGTTATTTAGAAGATAAGTTACTACGTCGCCCGTTTGTGTTACCTTACTAAATTCTCGACTAACAGTAGCGTAAGACTTCGCTATGTTAACAAATAATTCCAACGTTTTAACCTCCTTAGCGAACACCGTTAAGTGACTATTAATTTTCTTATCCAATATTGTTGAACAGGGAGAATATTTTTTACACACTTCCGTCTTCAGTTTCAGTAACTGGAATTATAAAGATGGTATAAGTATGCATAACATACCTATAGATTTTTTGATATGTAGATAAGTATATGGAAATTAATTACGCTAATTAAGGCGACCCGGCGCAATATGGCCGCACTTTTAAGTAGCGACAGATCTCGGTTCGTGTTAAATATTAATACTTATTTTGTACAAGCATACACACAACTAGTGCCTATAACAAATCAGTCCTTACTAACTTTGAGTTTTCTACACACCTATTATTATCTGATAACTTAATACCGTAAAATTTGTGTCATAAATCGACCAGATTGATACCACGGCCTCCCAGAAAACAGGAGTGAAGCAACATTTTTCGCCGCTTGAGGTTACCGACCGGCGACCCAATCCTTCCCCTCTTAACTTCAATCCTCAAATCCAATATCCTTAAATCCATAATTATCCACAAGACTCTGGCAACACACTTGTAGTAACTCCTTTGGCATTACAAGTGTCCGTTGGCGGCCCCGATTGCTTAGCCATCTTACGATCAGGTAAAAAATTCTCTCTGAGAGAGGTTATGGAAGGTCTAATCCTTATCCGGGACATAACTATGAGAGATTGAATGAAGGTACATATAGTGCTTAATAAATAAATAATAACTTTAATTAACTTACTTTTGGAATATAGGAATTCCCTGTTTTAATAATTATCTCAATGGCGTTACGTATTTTATCTGGGTTGATGCGTCCAAACTGGTAATAATACTGTACGGCTGGCAAGTAAGCCTTGTCAAACGTCTCGTCGACACTACAAGGTGAACAATTACATGGTTAAGTAATTGAAAATGATGTCTAACGTGAATTACGAGTCCTCCAATAGTTTCAAGTCTCAACGGAACTCTTACCTATTTACAACGCGCGCGTTGCGGCGACGTTTTACAAAGGTTATCAAATTTAGGTACCTATTATTATTTTGTGTTATCTGCGATTGGCAAAAGGCTGGAGTAATGCAGGTAACACAGTAAGTATATTACTATTAAATAAATAGAAATAAGTAGGTATTTTCGGTGCTGCTTTTGTTTCCACAATATTCAATAAAGCACAGCTGGCTGACTTACTTGGAACAAGTGCGTCGTACTATATGCGCTAAAGTCATCAGAACTGACAAAAGCGCGGTGTATTGGCGACCTGGGTCATGAGTGTGGCCCAACGGTGGATTTATGAACCTGCGAAGTTGTAAATTCATACAAATCGTATTGAAGTGTTACCGCTAAACGTAAACGTTCCAAACGTTACCGCGTTTAGTTCTCTGATTGGTTGTTTAACTTGAAGCAAGCCAATCAAATTTTTATTTTATTTATTTAAGTTTGTACATAAATATCTTATATTAGGTCTTACATTTTAATTAATCTAGGTAAATAACATTACGGTGCCTGTATAGAATTGAATCTGTACCACAGGCGTTACGGTCACTTACAGTTACTATTATGCTATGATTCATCCTTAACAATATTTATTTATTTTTATTCAGATAACTAACTTATAATTTATACATTTAATTTATAAATAATTTAGGAATCCATTAAAACTTAACTATTACTACATTACTACCCAATTAAACCTATGTCTATTTGACCACAGTCAGCAACGCCTCGGTTTCGTCGTAATTACGTGATTGTAAAAACTGAGACGTCCGCAGTTTTGCTCTGGCATAGTTTAGGTCGTATATGGGTGTTTTTTTGTTTATTTTATTATACAAATATGGACCCAAAAATGCAAAGAACCTGTTTGTAAACACAAACTTTGATGCGGAGTGAGAAGTACAGACAATATCTTTCCGTCTCTTAGTGTTAGTAATCACAGCAATGCTTAATAAGCATTAGGACTCGCATAAACTTACTAATATAATAAATGTGAATGTTACGATGTTTGGATGTTTGTTACTTAATGATGCCAAAACGGCGAAACGGATCTGGATGAAATTTGGCACAGGCATAGGATTATTATATATAAGTAGGAAAATAATTACATCCATCTTCGATGCGACAACAGGTTTTATCAACATACCACACGAAAGTAGGTAATTTTTCTCAAAACTTACGTTTTTTTTCTCAAGTATATTGCAAACTGCTTTATTAATTCAAGGTCAGCGTAAACTGAAGAATTCGTAGTCAGAGTGTCCGATTTGTTAATATCGTCTCTGTCTGTGGTTCTAACTGACAATAATGATTCCGTATTATTCTTAGAGGGAAAATTCAATTCATCATCCTCCTGAGGATATACCACATAGCTGGGTTGAGTTGAGTCCTCCGAAGGTTTCTTTTCTCTCTTTCTCTCTACATTAACGTAGTTTGATAGCTTCTCAGGTCCAATGTTAGCATTAAGGGGCACGGCATTTAGCTTTGATACCAGTACGTTATAATTAGGGTAAGCGGAGGCCTGTTTCGAGCGAAAAGGGAACACGAATGGATGTGGAACGTCTTCTTGGTATGTTTCGACATATAATACGCAAAGGATGGCAGGGGTAAGCCACATCACGTCTGAAAAAAAAATAGTAAGTAGGTGTTACCTAAGTAATTTCCTTCTTTGCAATTGCAATGCTTTATTACATAAAGTGTAAGGTTGAGTTAAGAGTGGAATAAGGCTGAGTGTAAGGTTATTTACTATATACCTAAAAATTTTGTATTGTTATTGCTCAGAATACAGAGTTTGTTCTGTATTCTGAGTGTTATTGTTAATTCAAGAAAAATACGTGTAAGAATGTTATTGGACGTTAAAATATTATGACGTCAATACTAGCAATCTACAAAATTAATAAAACAAAATATGCTTTTTGACATTTCGATACAAGTAGGTATTAAATTCGATTATGTATAGTTGGAAACTATTCTAGCTTACCGCCAAGCCGTCCTGCCACCAATAGTTTAGAAAAAAATGTGTAAGTTGAAAGAAAAACGGTACAATGACCAAATTACTGAATCTTACCGAAGCTAACTGCAGTGGAACAATGAATTGATTTCATTGTTACGCAGAAAACGCAGTTATTTAATAATAGGTAAACGTGTTATCGTTAACTTTATCGTAATTAGTATTATGCAGCGTTTCTAAAAAAAACAACAAAATGGTCCATACAGAAACGTTATATGTATATGCTACTTCTTTGTGGAGGTAAAGACTTGAATAATGACTACTAAATTTTCATCAAGTTTGCCACCAGCTTTTCCCTTGAGCCTCGCTATCGGCTCGACCGGCGTGAAACCACCACGTTGTGTTTCGCCATGTGAGTAAGGTTACCGGAGTTCCAATCCCTCCCCCTCTACCCATCCCTTCCCAATCCTTAAATGTTCAAAACCCTATCCCCAAAAGGCAGGCAACGCACTCGTAACTCTTTTGGCGTTGCGGGTGTCCTTGTGCGGCGCCGATCGCTTACCATCTGGTAATCCGTCTGCTCGTTTACCAGAGTGATTTCAGGGAATACGGACAGGATCTCTGCCTTATGAGGATTAAAATGTTAGTATTAATTATGAAAAACTTTGTCAATATTAATTTTATAATGTTTAGAACCATTTTTTCGCACGTGATGTAATATCAGCTGATTCCTAACATGATATTGAATTGAATAAATTTAGCCGCTAGCTGAGATAATTCGTCGCGCTATTTAACCATTTAATGAGAGTTCGCACCTTATTTATGGAGAAAATCACGTGCCTAACTGATTGTATCTGCAAAAAAAAACATTCTGAATAAAATTACATATGGAAAAAATACTTTTTGAGCCAGTTTGGTAACCCAAGTTGTGAAGCGTTGGAGAGTTTTGGCACGACTGGGCCGGCTGAACCGGAGTGAAATCACAGCCTTACAAAAAATCGGCGTGAAACAAAACTTGCGTGGTATTTTACTGTGACTCAATCTTCAAATCATTCTCGGCTCAGCGGCAACTCCTGTGTTTTTAATTTGAACATCATGAAATATATTGAAATCATCAAATTACTTCTTCCCGTCCTAGGCGAAGCAAGAAGGAGACTCTTACTGACTCAAAAGAGTGGGTGGTTTTGGTCTCCTTCACCTGGACTCCTCGTTGTCGTTTTCTTACCAAAAAATTCTCTTTCTTGAAAAAAGCTATAAGTTGGATTTTCACAACTAGTAGTGGTGTCATACATAGGCTATCCCGATGTCTTCTAGATATCTGTAACATAGTCTTAGGACTCTTGGCGTTTTAAGTATTCTAACGTTTTCGCTAATTTAATGGTTGGTAGAGAAGTTAATCTCTGAATGTAAGTATTATACCTTTGAATATACTGCGTTAGGTACGCGTGGAAGCTTTTTAAGAGCGTATCATTTTTTTTAATAACTCACGTAAAATATGAACATCCTCATCTAGATTTTATTAATATTTTGGATCAAAAGCTCAATTCTCTGACATCTTTAAATTATCACACAGATATTAAAGGCTGAAAACCTCCATAGCCGACATGAACAACAAAATGTATACATGGATATAACGCGGTGCCTTCAAATAGCAACCGGAAACAGCGCATGCGACGGCGCGCCGTAGACGAGGATTATTTCCGGTGCGGGCCGCGTCGCTCCGCCAATTAGATCACCCCGTCGAAGGATAACGCAAATAAAAAGAAATATTGTGTAAGAAAATGTTTATACAATCATATCTCGCCAGATAAATGACGGTTGTGGGTTCTGTAGATTATTTTTACTTACTTTTTCAGGTATTTAGATAGTGCTAGTTGTTGGCTGCGTTTCTATGGTAAGTTCACATGAATCCTTTTTTTCGCTGGCGAATTTTTTTTTTTGGTAAAATGTTTGTAGTATCTACTTAATAATTGGGTTGGGGTTTGGGGGTTGAAATTTTAGTTTAGGTAGGCATTACAAAATCGAAGCGGAGACTAAAACCTAAAATATATTTTATATGGTCACTATTTCACGGATGGGTTGGCTTGACCGGAGTGACCACGGCCTCATAGCTCAGAAAACTGGCGTGCTGGCGTGCGACAACAACAGCGTTGTGTATCCTTCATCAGTGAAGTTACCAGAGGCCCAATTCTTCTTACCCTCCCGCAGTCCCTCCGGAATCCCTAAATCTTTGAAACCGTAATCCTAGAAGGCTGGTAACGAACTCATAATCTCAGTGGTGCTGCGGGTGTCGATGGGCGGCGCCGATTGAAAGGTAATTCGTAAGCTCGTTTTTTTCCTATGAAATTAAAAAAATATAGTTTTTTTTTTTTAGAATCATACCGTCACGCCAATGGGGTATGCAAAGAAAATTTAACAAGTTCTGACAAATCTCTATCGCTTCTTAGTCTTCTTTTACATTCTTCAACCTCTTTATGTAGGTACGCTCGTCGAATGAGGTTGTTTTTAATTTGACCCATATCTAAATATCGATATTTGGTCGATATATTATGTCCGTCTATGCCAAATCGCCATCTGCTGACTTTCCCAATCATATTCACTCGATAAACCTCAATAAACTAACATCTCATTAGTTGGATAGTAATATTTTAATAACTTCATATAAAGTTTCTATTTCTGTTCTCAAGTATATAGTTCCCAATTTAGCAACATTATGAAAAAGAGCCCACTGCTAAGCAAAGACCTCTTCTCACACAGGTTGGCGATCTAAAACTTATAATTAGAATTTATAAGTGAAGGTTTCCTCCCGATGTTTTCCAAAAAATAGATCTCTTTCATTGAAATCAGACATTGTAATATCCCTTACAAAATTAGCGGGTCCGTCGAACAGCGTCTGAAATTAAGTTCCTTTTGAAATCGATCGAGGAAGATGCCGGGAATTATCATTTTAATAGAGTCTTCCTGCCGAGCGGCGAACCGTATCGATTTGAGTGGCACAATGGATAGGCGCTGCTTTAATTCAAGTCTCTCATCCGTCTGTGTGAGGGTCTAAAAGAAAATTATTGGTGAATTCATAAATTTCTAGATGGTAAGCAGGCTGATAGCATTTTGTTGGTAAAAAATATTTTTTTCGAGTTTAGAACGCATTTTTGAATTGAACGGTTTTCATGGCAGGATAGGCTTAGCTGAAGTCTTTACTTCTAATGATGATTTTAATACAATCACACACACACACACACCCACATAAATGGTTGTTTTCCTACGTAATTTACAGTTCATTGCAAAAAATTCAATCATATTTGCTAACACATAACTTGAATAGTTGCGTTTCTTTGTTCAAAAATGATTGATAAATAGACTTATGCCTAGTGAACTTATTATCAAAAAATTAAAAAAGAATTTCTTTTTGATACTATTCTAAATGTGGGAGATCCATGTTTCGGCACGAATGGGCCGGCCACCACTACCACTACCTCGACCAGGCCGATACCACTACCTCACAGAAAACCGGCATAAAACAACCACAGCGTTGTATTTCGCCGTGTGAGTGAGATTACCGGAGACCCAATCCCTTACCCTGCCGCCATTCCTTCCCAATCCTTCAATATCCGAAACTTTATCCCCAAAGCAATTATAATGTGGTGTTTCGCCGTGTCAGTGAGGTTACCGGAGGCCCAATCATCGCCCCCCAATCCTCTATCTACAAATCCCTATCCGTAAATCCCTTACAACCTACAAGAGGCCGGCAACGCACTCGTAGTAACTCCGTGTTGCGAGTATCCATGGGGGGCGCTAATTGCTTATCACCAGGTAATCCGTCTGCTCGTTTGCCGACCTATATAGAAAAATAAGAAACAAAAAAGACCAAAGATGTCAATATCATACGATAATAGATCCGATAGATTTTAATTCCGCCTAGCCCGTTACATCATCGGACCACCAGACGTACGGCATTGCGCCACCGGTACATGGTGGATGTCCCACATATACGTACAAAACGTTTTGGGAGCACATTCATCATGCGTACAGCCAAGGAGTGGAATTCCTTGCCGGAGTCGGTGTTTCCTGATAGTTACAATCCGGGTATCTTTAAGTCAAGAGTGAATAGGTTACTTCTAGGTAAGCGCGCTCCATCGTCGACCGCATCGTCGCTTTCCATCAGGTGAGATAGCGGTCAAGCGCGAACCTATAATAAATAAAAAAAAAATAGATAATACTTCAAACAAGCAAACATTTAGGAGACATTAAACTGTCATTCTTTCTATCTATATATCCGTTACTTGTTTACTATAAATCAATAATTTATACTCTCATTGCCCTAATGGACAGACGACGTTGATACCAATCTTAAGTACGATTTATGAACGGTATACTTCCATTTGATTTTTATTCTTATATATGTAAGGACAGTTTATGTCTAGTTTAATTCAATAGGTCTTTTGAGGATTGATTAATGTGATGATATTAATTCGAATGTATACAATTTTATGCACAAGATATTCTAGTTTAATTTCTTATTAGTTGGGATGTGTTTTTATAATAACTATCGTGAGACATACTAAATTAACTAAAATTCGCGGGTTACTCACGTGCAAATGTTGAGAAAAGCTCTACTAGTTTCGAACCACAGAGGGGTTCTTCCTCATGAGCAGCGTGCGCGGACGCGGCGACG